TTGTATTCTGTTTGCTAATATTTTATTGAGGATTTTTGCATCTATATTCATCAAGGATATAGGCCTGTAGTTTTCTTTCTTGGTTATATCTTTACCTGGTTTTGGTATCAGGATGATGTTTGCTTCATAGAATGAGTTTGGGAGTTCTATTATAGTAGAGTATGTGTTGCTTGAATTCTCTTTTAGTTACAGAGACAAAGGGGAGATATCATAGATTTCAAGCAACCATGGATTTGAGTACTGGCTCTTCTACTTAATAGCTGTGCCATAGAATTTGTTTTAAGAGAACCACTGCTAGTCCCTAATGAAAAATACTTTTTTGCAAAATTTTTACATTTTTTTTAATAACCTGGGCTTGAGTCTAGAATTGTCAGAGAGCTCCCAGTGCACCTACTCTAGTTTCTTTTGATATCTTACCTCTTTCTTCCATAGAGCTTATTTGAGATTATAGGGTCAAAATTAAATCTCTGGACATTCCTTTCTCAAGTTATATTCCATTTTAGATTTTTTTTATCTGAATTTTTGAAATCTGTTTTCCCAAAGTCTTTAGCAAACTTCGGACTATATCCAGCTTTTCCTTTGCTGATAAGCACTGCTTATAAGTGTCCAAAATAGTTTTTACCCACAAAAAGTTGTTTTTATACTTCAAACTGGGAATCTAAATTTCCTTATTTTCTGGAACCAGTGACTCTTACAGGGTTGGTGTGTGTGAGAGCTTTTATTTTGAGATCTTGGAAAACTAGTTTTCTGTGAAGAGGTTAAAGAAAACAAAATAAGGACTAATCGACTCCCCTTCCCCCACCAACCAAGATCAAGCTCAAGAGACTGTGTAGCCAGATAAGAAAGCAGAGTCCAACAAAGACTGGGTGAGACTCTTAGGGAATCCAGGTGGGAAACAGGAGCTCAAAGTGGGGAAGGGGACACGCCCACACTTTATTATGGTGCATTGAGGCCCCCTGAGGGCTTGGGTAGCCAAGGGGGGAAATCTGTGCCTGGAAGAGTTATCCCCGTGGAGGCCTCTACAGCCAAGGGGATCCTGGAGAAGGAGTAAGGGCAGAAGATCTGAGTAGGTAATTTCCTCTTGTGTTCATGGTTTCTTAGGAAAGTACTTATCTCAGTGACATACAGTGACATTCTGCCTCTTGTTCTAGCACACTGGTTTCTATGAATCAGGGTTTAACTTCTTGAATTCCCATCATGCATCCCTCCTCTTCACTTGGGTCACCCATGAGGTCACATTTACTCTGCCATTCCATGAAAACACCTTGTCACCCATGTTCTGAGCACTGTAGACATGCTAATGTCTTAAATACTGTGCCTCATTACCGTATCAATGTCTTAACTGTGAAATAGTATGCACGTTTTCTACCAACAGTCAGCATTTTTTTCTTCATAGTAATTAAACTATAAATGTTTCTATCCAATTTCTTTTGTAGTTAGTTTTAATTTCTTCTGAAATGTCATACTAGCCTTTGGGAAAACATTTTTGGGGGGATCTAAAACTGAGGACATACATTGTTTCCTCATTCTTAAATCTTTAGCTATGTCTAAAAATTTGTATCTCATTTTTGATGCCATCTATATAGCTAGTCAATTATCTTATTTTCTGTTTTCTTACAGAATACCAAACTTTAGTGGTATAGCCAAACACTGACTGTGTGTCTCAGTCTTTCACCCTCCTGCCTGACTTGATAGATCCCAGAGGTGCCCTTAGCTTTGTGTTGATATGTATCAGAGAGTGTTCACTGTTTCTCAACTTCACGCTTATCCTTCTGTTCTCTTCTCTTTGCCACAGCAGTAGGAAGACTGAAAAATACATTTTCCAGAATCCCTTGCCAGCTGGCATCCAGAGGGAGGCAGGAGATGAAAGTTTGGAGAAAAAAAAGCCATATTTTTCATACCTTCTGCTTGCACCTGTGGCAGTGCCAGCAGCTGCACCCACATCAGAAACAGCAGCAGCAGAGACAGCAACAGCGGTGACATCAACCATAACAGTAGGAGTTTGGGCAAGAACATGGAAGCAAGGGAGCCTGGTGAGTGCAGGTTCCTGGGGCACTGCTCAGGTGGCAGTGTTCCAATAGAACAAGCTCCTGTGGCACAGTGTTCATGGGTTCTGGGTAAAATCATTTTCTCTTTTGTTCTCCAGCTCTAGATATGAGTAGTTTAGTGTAATTGCCAATCCTTGGATAACCCAATCTTCCTTGTTTTACTCCTATAGCCCATTCCTATACTTTTGTAACAGCCTCCCTACATTAAATACCCTCTCTGTCCAACACCTAGATCTGTTACTGTTTTCATGATTGGGCAGAAACTAAGGGCAAGCTGTTATGAATGTGCATGGATATGCAACACCAGAAATGTGGTATGCCCTAGAGCATATTTCATCATATGCTGGGAAAACATGCAAAGAAGATTCAATTGACAACGCTAACTCTGCATGCAACTGCTCTTTATCTCTTGGTAGAGAGTCACCAACCTCTCAGATTCAGTGAGAGGTTTTGGGGTATTCACAAGCATTTACAGACACTTGTTTGTGCCATGTTTATTTTCCAGAAGGTCTGCATTCGAACTATTGAAAGAAAAAAAAAAGCAAGCATTTTGTGTCTGTTGAGCTGTTTCTTCTTTAAGGCATATGATTCATTGCTCTTATCTCCCTGTTTTTTCTTCCCCTTAGTCTCCTAAAATTTTTGAATTCATGGTTTTCCTTTGTTATTTTTTTCTTCCATTTTCTCTAAGAACTGTGCACCTTTGCAGATAAGCTGGCATTCAGAAGGGGGATTCTCAAGAAAGGAAGTCTGTTGTAATAATGCTATCACAGAGGAAGCTATGAGGTCAGCGTGGACAGCACCCTTATGCCAAGGTTTACAATCATCATATGTAGCCTCTAACTAAGATCAAAAATGAGGAATATCTTACCTCCCCCCAAATGGAAAAGAAACATTAGCATGAACTATGGAATAATTCCATAGCTACCACAGCCAAACTCATGCCCACACTTCTATTTTTAGAAACTGTTTCTTCATCATCTTGAGCAATGGGGAAGAGGACTACTGACTCCAAATTTGGGAAACATCCACATAATTGCCTGTTGCCTTGATGGATTTCTTGACTTTTAATTTTCAGCATGTGTGTCTCCATGTTCTTTCCTTCAGTCTACACATAATGCAGATATCATAGATTTAGAAGTTGACACTTGACTGAACACAAAATTTAGAAGAGAAAAATATGAGACTGTGCATTTGAATGTTATCCAGAAGCAGGGAAAGGCACACGGCCAAATTTCCCTAGCTCTTTTTTCATTACATAATGTTGCCTGGATATCAGCTTGTCAACAGACTGAATTTCCACCACCACCACCACCACACGAACAAAGAGCCCTTGTGAGAAAACTATGTGGAATATGAATACCAGCTTTTAAAAAGTTGGGGAGCTACCATACAGGGTAAGTTCCTTTTAAGCAAATCTGCCTTTTTTTTTTAGATATATGTTATTTTGTAGATTTTTTTTCTCACTGAACTCCCCAAGCATTTTAATCAAACTTTATCAGGTATAGACCACTTGAATAGTTAAGATGGATTTCTTCAGCAATAGTCCAAGAAAAGCATACATGAATTGTTGCCACAAGAAAGATCATCAGTCATTTCCTTATGATATTTGATATGAAGAAATATGTCAAATATGCTATTTGACAGAAGAAATCTCTCCAGCTTTAAAGAATATTTATTCTTTGCTCTATAGATCTGGAAAATGGGAGGAGGGATATTGAGATGATTTGAGTACAGGATAGAGCATATGCTTCAATCACAGAGAATATTAAATATGTCTTGGTTGGTGTGGTTTCTGGAGTGCACATTGAAGGAAAGCTGTATTAAATAAAATATTTATAATTTAATTTATAAGTTTATATTGTGGAAACAGTACACACAGACATGTTGACTGATGTTTTCCTAAAAAATTTCTCTTCAGGAAGATCTGAGCCTTAGATCTGTGAACTCAGAACCAATCAGAGTCTTCACACACATTAAAATACTCCTTAAGCATGTGTATTTGTGTGTGCCCATGTGTGTGCATGTGTGCATGAGCATACACTAGGGTGGGTAGAGAGAGAAGAAACTGGCATAAAGTGAAAGCATTCTATATTCATAATCTCAGTAAATCAAGCAATCCGATGAGGTAGGCATTGCACTGCCATCATAAGGATGATGGGACAGAAAGAAACCCAAGTCCTTCTAGTTCTAAAGGCCATACAACTTCTATTATAGTTTCTTTTCTTCAGCCAGTATGTGGTACATTGTATTTATAAGATACTGATATGATTAGATGATCTGTTACTCTATTTGATTTGCTGCATTCTTACTTCCTATCATTCGGTAGTTTACACTGCTGACAAGGACAAAGGGTGAACAGAGGCAGAAATGCTTGGGGTCTCCACTCTGCGCCTTGACAATCCTATTCCAGTGTGTCTACTCTTCCTGGATTGTTAATTTTTTTTATCTTTTACACTGCTGACAAGGACAAAGGGTGAACAGAGGCAGAAATGCTTGGGGTCTCCACTCTGCACCTTGACAATCCTATTCCAGTGTGTCTACTCTTCCTGGATTGTTAATTTTTTTTATCTTTATATACCTCAGATCCTAAATTCTAAATCACCAGGAAAAGAGACTTAATCATAGCAGTTGTGATTCCTTCAGTCTGTATCTTTCTCAGGTAAGTAGAAATAAAACCAAGTTTAATAGTTTATTTTATAGTACAGTGCTTTAAAATTGCAGGCCTAAATGTGTGAGAGATGGAGAGTGATGTAAAGATACACTATGCTATTACTAAAAACCATATTTTCAAGAAATACTCAATGACCTGGGAAAATGCACAGTCCACAGAAAATCACACACAAGGTACACAGAATAAATAAATAAATAGGTAAATAAATAAAAGTAAATCAAACTCTAACAGGAGTTATGGATAGTTAGATAAGGTTAATGTAGTGGATTGAATTATGTCCCCCTAAAAAACTCACTGAAGATTGAATTATGTCCCCCAAGTTTTGTTTATTAGAAACTTGGTCCCCACTCTGACTGTTAAGAGGGTGGGAAATCCTATTATGGTAATTGAAAGGTGGAGACTTGAAGAGGCGATTAGATTGTAGGACCATGTCATAATGAATGGATTAAAAATGGTGGTCATGGGCATGGTTTGGAGGGCTTTAAAGGAAGACAGAGGAGAGTCTGTCTCTTTGCTCCACCATTTTGCAATGTGATACCCTGCCATCACTGAAGTCACCAATAAAGACTTCACCAGATGTGTTCCCTGGACTTCGGACTTCCTAGCCTCAGAAACTGTAAGCAATAAATTTCATTTTCTTTATAAATCACCCAGTTTTGGGTATTTTGTTATAAGCAACAGAAATAGACTAATACAGTTAATCTTATTTTCTTCTTGAATTTATAAGTTTCTCCAAAATTTTCAAAATGATATGTTACTGTTGGAATCAGATAAGATAAAAAATATTATGTAAAATTATTAAGAAACATCTGTTGTATATTCATAATAAGCAAGTTATGGAATCAACCTAGGTGTCCATCAACAGATGAGTGGATAAAGAAAATGTGGTATATATACACAACGAAGTACTACTCAACCATGAAAAATAATGAAATCCTGTCATTTGCAGCAATATGAAAGAGCCTGGAAGATATTATGTTAAGTGAAATAAGTAAGGCAGAAAAAGATAAATACTGCATGTTCTCACTCATGTGAGAGGTAAAAAAGAAGCAAGTTGAACTTTTAGAAGCAGAGAGTAAAATTGGGTTACTAGAGTAGAAGGGGAGTAGGAGGGGGATATAGTAAGAGGTTGGTTAATGGACACAAAATCACAGCTAGAGAGGAAAAATAAATTCAAGCAGTACACAGTAGTGCTAAGCATCTATAATTAATAATTTATTGAATGGTTTCTTCTATGGTAGGAAGAGAGGAGCTCAAATGTTCTCATCACAAAGAATGATAAATTTTTGTGATGATGAATCTGCTAACTACCCTAATTTGATCATTATACATTGCATACATGTATTGAGATATAACTCTGTACCCCATAAATATGTACAATCAGTGTGCTTCAATTAAATAAATTACCTTAAAAAAAAAAAAAGAACTGTTGTAGAAACAGCATGGCTCTCCAACCCACCTGTTCCAAACAGAGTGAAACAGAAAAACAAGGTCTCTGAATTATTCCTTAATTCCATAAATAATTAATAATTATTTTCATATGTAAGGGGTGAGCATAGGAAAAGGTTCAGAACTAAGTCTGGTGAGGGCCAATTACTTGGAAGCATGTGAGAAAATTTTCTTACCCCTGGGAATAAATAACATTTATTTATTTATTTACTTGCTTACTTATTTACTTAGGTACATCCCCCAAATTGGTTGAGCAAAATGAAATTTTATGCTATACTTTGTTGTTCCTTTGAGATACAGAATAAAGAATGGGAGGAAACTGGAAAAGACAAGAAAATCTTCGGAATGTTCCACAAATTCCTTGTATCAGAGTCCCTACATCTGTTTCTGCCACTTCATTATTGAAGGTACAGAATTTTATTCATAGATGAAGGGACCTCTTCTGTCTCTTCTTCAAGCTTGAGGACTTTTTCTATTGTCTTTCTTTATGCAGCGTTAGGGAGAATCTTTGACCCAACATCAGCCCTTGGTACATGTCGAAGGCATGCATGTGTGAATGAATGAGCACTTGGATGACTTACTCCTGCACCAATCCCATTTCAGGAGCTCTGGTAGAGAGTGACCCCTTCATGGCTGATCCACCACCAGTGATGGGAAACTCACTAATTGACCACACTGTGGCTCCCTTTGCAGAGCTTTTAGATTTTTTCAATCAAATTTAGTTAAAGCCACTCTCATAAACACTCTGTAAAAATTTCAGTTCTCTTCCATTCCCTCAAGGAAAAAGAAGAAACAGGATAAGTGTTGTTTTGCTTGCCACAGATTTGTCACCCCTCTTCCCCTGAGTGACAGAGCCACAAAGGATTGCTCAAAGCCCATTTCTTCCAAGCAGTGAGAAGCCCTGAAGGGGTTAATCTCCCAGAACCCTCAATGTTCTTGCCCCACATTTATTCTCCAGAACAGGAAGTTACAGGAAAAGAACATATGTGGGGCTTTGGCCAATTATAGTTTAACAGTAGAGGCTGGTAACATTCATTGAAACAAGCAAGGTGACATTCCATAATGCAATTTGCAAAAGGTCAAGTCAATCCACCAACAAAAAACTGATCTTAGCATACACTTTTTCTCTACAGCAATTTCCCAGTATCTTTATATATCAATCAGTAACTTGTCTGCCCTTGAGCCAGAAACCTTGCTGTGTTACAATTCTTTATCTTACAACAGAGACTTTTAGCCTGGGGAAAGTTTCCTGTGTTTTGCAAGGTTAACATTTTATATGTACTTTTAAGAAATTAGGCTAAACCTGAAACTAGAAGGAACTAGACTCTGTAAGTATACTCCAGAAATAAGAATATTAGGAATGTTACCCATTACTTCTTGTTTAGGAAGTTTAGAGTTTTACTAAGGAAAAGAAGTAGGCATTTTCTTTCTTTTTTTTTTGTAAAATAAAACTATAATTTTTAAGACTTATCCTTATGTACTGGAAATTCCCATTGTAGAATTTGCTCTTGAAATTGGCTTACAATTTTCATATTATCTTGTTCTCAATCATTTGAAAAGGCTTAGTTGGTTATTCAGGAATGGAATCCATTCTGTTCTTTAAAGGTATTATCCTTTAAATTATCTCATTCAGAAGCTGTAAAGCTGAAATGATGTCTCAAATTGTGAGGTAGTTAGCTTTCCTACTTTCATTCTGGATATATTTTTGATACTAAATTTAAGGTCTCTAGACCTCAAAAGAAATCTGATTTCTAAATTTCAGCTCCACACAAAATTTGTAACAGGTAAAAGTCATCTTACCCTACTTTGAAATATGATCATTATAACTTTAGTTTTTATTACATAGTTATCAATTAGTTTTTAAAAACCTGCCATTTCATTGTCTTGAATTTTTTGGTCTACAGTAAACTTTTTTTATCTTCAATTTTCTAAAATTTTGATGCCACCACCTCAGTTTCTCCATCTGTAAAATGAGCACAATAAATTGCCCATCTTATAGGACAGTTGTAACTTAAAAGATGATTCATGCAGAGAGTAAAACAGTGGTTACCAGAGACTGGGGAGGGGACAGGAGTGGAGAGAAAACAGGGAGAAGTTGGCCAAGAGGTACAAAATTACAATTAGAGAGAAGGAATAAGTTCCATAGTAGAGTGACTATGGTTAACGGTTGTTTTGTATATTACATGATAGCTAGAGAAGAGACTTTTTAATATTTCACCACAAAGAAATGATATATGCATGAGGCGACTGATACATTAACCACTCTAACCTGATTATTATGCAACATATACATGTATCAAAATATCAGCTTGTATTCCATAAGTATGTATAATTACAACACATCAATTAATTTTTTTTAAAAGAGATGATACAGTCAAAATGCTTAGCATAGCATATGATAACCACTTAAGATATATTAGGTATGTAATAGTAATTGAAGCCCTGAACCTTCTCGTTCCTCCATACCTTTATAACAGTAGTGTAGGGGCAGAGGAAAAGCTTCCTCTCCACCCACTGAAGGGTGACAGTAGACAGATTAACAGGAGAAAAAGGCATACAAATTTATTAAAGTGCATGTGAACAAGAAAGTTCCACAAATATGAGACTCAAAGAAGGGCCATATGGTTAAGGCTTAAATATCCTCTTCATGGGGGAAAGGGATATGGGGGGTTGTGGGTAATTTTAGAGAGGTAGTAACTGATTTTTAGGGGAAGTAAATGAGCCCAAAGAACAGTGGCCTGGGAAAAAGTTCTTCTGAGATCTGGAGGAGTGGCAGGAAGGTGAGGGGTGGAACTTCACTGTGAACAAAGGTTGTCTTACTATGTAGATAAAGTCTACCAGGCAGGTTCTCAGAGCTGCTCTCAAAAAAATAGATGAAAAGTCTATCTCTTCTGAGATCTGGAGGAGTGGCAGGAAGGTGAGGGGTGGAACTTCACTGTGAACAAAGGTGGTCTTACTATGTAGATAAAGTCTACCAGCCAGGTTCTCAGAGCTGCTCTCAAAAAAATAAATGAAAAGTCTACATGGGCATGGTGACTACCATTAGTCTCTTTTCTCTGGTGGTTAATCTTTCCCGGTTATTTGATGAGATTCCTGGGGAGGGGGTCTTAAGGCAATCATATTTCTTTCGGAATGAATTTTCCTTAGTCAGATAAGGAAATTCCAGAAATTCCAGAGAGTCCTTCCATGTGCTTAAAGTAATAGGATCAGAGAGACAGAAGGGCAGGGGAAGGACAGAGAGAGACCTTGGTTCAGAGACATATTTCTGAGGTCTTTCTATTTTAGTTCAAAGTTTTTATCATTCCAAAGCAGCAAACTTTTAGAATATCATTTTCTGATCCTGTTTTATAGTAGCCTTCTAAATTGTCTCCCTACTAGTGGTCTGTCTCCCTCAAGCTCATTCTCCACAGCCAGACCTGTGTGATCTTTTTCAAATGCAAATCTGATCAGTTTCAAGTATGGCATTTTGGGTTAGATAATTCTTTGTTGCAAGGGAGTGGAAGCTGTCCTGTGCGTTACAGGATGCTGACAGCCTCTCTGGCCACTACGCACTGAATGCCAGTAGTACCCTTTCCCCCTCCCACCAACTGATATGATGTAAAATTTTTGCAGATATTGTCGAATGTCCCTTGGGGGTCAAAAATCATCCCTGTTGATGATGACTGCCTTAGATAAAGACCTTTAATGGCTCCTCATATAAAACTTAATTTCTGAACTGAACACAGCATGAAAGGCTTCCTCTGCCTAACTCTACAGCTTTTTTGAAATTAGACTCTAGGCTCACTCTGAACTAAAAAAATATGTCTGGTTCCCAACATACCCAGGTGTTTCATGCCCCATAAGAGAATCTGTACCACTTTCTCCCTCTGCCTATAACTAGCTTTTCTTCTTCTAGTACATCAATTCTCAAATTTTAGTGTGCATATATCAGAATCTCCTGGGGGGCTTGTTAAAATACAGAGGTGCTCAGCCCCACCCCCCAGAGTTTCCGATTCTGTAGGTCTGGGTGGGGACTGAGAATCTGCATTTCTAACAGGTTCCCAGGTGTTGCCCATGCCCTTTGAGAACCAGTATTCTAGTCCCTTCAGGAAACTTCTTGCTCTTAAGATTCAGATGTGATCATCACCATATTGAGGAAGGCTTCCTTGACTGCTGCAGGAGTTTGTTTTCCTTCTCTGTTTTAAAAGCATCTTTTTACTAATGATGTTGAACTCTCCCCACATTACCCATCTATTCATCCATCTATCCCATTTGCTTATTGAGAACTTTCAGTGAAAAGTTCCCTTTTACCCACCCAGAGGCCTGGCATACTTCAGGCCCTGTGTAGATCCTCATGACCTATTTTCCTCAATAAGGATTAATAAAATTATAAGATCTTGGAAATTTTTAGATCTCTCTCAGCCCAATACCATGACCTACTTACCTAGAATCTTTTACTTACCCGTTTTCATCATTATACAGGCCAGTGGAAGACTTTAAGCAAACTAAGAGAGAAAAATACTCAATTGTTGTTTTCCAATTGCTGTACATTAAAATGTGTGTGTGTATTTAGCAAGAGAAACATCTTATTTTCATGGAGGTTAGCTTTGAATACATCACACTTCTAATCCAGTAGAATTCTACAGACTCATCAAAATCACGTGCTCTGTTCCGACAGGATCTAACCCAAGGGCAACGGCGCTACCTTTACAGCATCATGAAGATTTACAACTCCAGGCCCCAGTGGGAGGCCCTGCAGACCCGTTGTATTCACAGCCTTCAGCACCAGCAGCTGCTCCGTGAGTTTAACTACCTGACCTGAACAAGGTATCTCAGGAAGGGACTTACGTGCTTCAGCTGAAAGTCAAGTTTCCAGATAAATAATTCAAGTAGATGGCCTCTGCTAGAGTGCTATTTTATCAATGTGGTTGGCTAGCCAAGTTTAAAAGTGGTTATTCCTGACAATAGAGAGCAGAGTTTTATGGATAAATTAAGAGGGTTCAAAGAAATTGGAATATGGGTTGTTATAAAATGTAAACAACTCTGAGATTTACAGGAAGTTGATCTAGAAGATCAATGGCACCGGGCTTAGAAAGCCAGCCTAGGCTCACACTACAGCTCAGCCCCTTGCTTTCTGTGCAAACTCAGAGGCTTGGTTTACTTACGACAATAACAGTTGTATTTATTGAGAATTTGCCATGTTCCAGACATTGTGCTAAGAGCTTTACATATATCTCATTTTCTCCCCACTTTACAGTTGTGGAAAATGGAAGCTCAGGCAGGTTATGTAATTTGCTAAGATCATGCAGATAGTTGTAAAGCTAGGGCTTACAGACCCCTCGAGTCTGTTGCACAGATTGGGTCACAAACCCTCCACACGCTGGTCTGTGAGCTAGGAATGGAATAAAAAGGTTCTGGGAGCTGTAGGTATAGAAAAATGGATAGGTTTTATTCAGATCTAGGAGCAATT